CCCCAAAACCCCAAAACCCCAAAACCCCGTAGAACAAATAAATAATAGTCTAGCAATTCTTGAAATTATATAATTAATAAACTCAACTTTACTATCATTAGATTGAATGGAATCAAGGCCAAAAGATATATAGACAATAATGATATTTGGAAATACTGGCAATGGCAAATCAACTTTAGTAAATTGCCTAACTGGAAATGAAGATGCAGCAGTCGGAGAAGATGCTAGAGGAGTAACAAAGAGCCCTGCCTTTTATTAAGCTAGAATTGATGAAAAGGATTTTGAAATTATTGATTTACCAGGATTCGGAGATAGAGACATTTCAATTAAAAAGAGTTTAGAGCTTTGGGACAAATATATAAAGGGGAAAAAGATTCACGCCTTAATCTTTACTCATAAATCATCAGATGATAGATTAACAATATTCGACTCAGCTTATGCTGATATTGTCAAGCAATCTTTTGAACCTCATGAATACTCATCTAGGATTGCTATGGGTATCACATTTTGGAATCATTATGAAAATGACAGCAAAAGAAAAGACTCTAAAATTAATCATTTTACAACAAATCTATTAGAGGAACTGAATAAAAGTCTTGGCTTCAATGAAGCAGAAAATCAAATAAAGATGACTTTGTTTTTCACAGATCGAAATGAGTAATGCTAAAGTGAGATTCAAAAAATAGCAAGACTTTTTGATGAGCAACCTCAAGATGTCAAGCCTGCTTGTAAAGTTGACGATGTTGCTACTATTTTGTCTAAACATCTTGAATTAGACAAGGTAGTTGTTAAGTAAATAGTAAAGAGTAATGGAACTGCTCAGCATTTACAATAAGCTGAAAAAAATGATTGCTTTCCTCCACATGCCAAAATCAGATTGGAAGATGGAAGCGAAGTTCAAGTTAAAGACTTGAAGATAGGAGATAGAATTCTTTCATATAATGTCAATAAGAAATAATAGTTTGTTGATGTAATAACAAATTTTCTTCACAAAGAATTGCATGAATCGTGCAAATATCTAAGAATCACGCTTTAAAATGATAGGATACTTGAAATATCTTAAAATCATATGGTCTGTGCTGCAACAAATGATTTTATTGGTAAATCTAAATACATTTAAGCCTTAAAATTGAAAAAAGAAAAGCACAAAATGATTATTATTGGAGAAAATGGAGTCTATCACTTGGCTGAGATAAAAAATATAGAAGAAGTTTCCTATAGTGGAAAGTATGCTCCGTTAACAAGGAGTGGATCAATCATAGTTAATGATGTTGTCGCAAGTTGCTATGCTGGATCATTTTCATAAAAGATTTCTCACATCGCCATATTGCCAATTCAAATCTGGTATAAAAATTAAGATTTAAAAGGAATTCATCCATATGCAAATGTATTAAGCAAAATATTTAATAATTGAGAACTAAAACTTAATTAATTGAATCTTAATTTAATAGTTCCAAGATATTTCTATTTCATATAGTTGACTTAATGAAGGGGTTTTGGGGTTTTGGGGTTTTGGGC